ATATTTATTAGAATTTCTGATTTAAGGCTTCAATCAGAATTTAAGGGTTTGTCCAACCTCTATGACTATAGAAAATCTGGATTCCAAAATAATTTAAAGTTTGTGGCTTTTTTCTCCTTTAGGTAAGATTTCTTCCAAAGAAATTTTGACTAAAATGTTCACTAATGAAGCTAGGAACCATCCAGTTTTTCTGGTTTCACGACAAATGGGGCAGTGTTCCTGGAGTCTATTAGTCACACATTTTATTTCCTCTTCCTGTTCTTGTCTCTCCTCTTTCTTCCGTTTCTCTCTGCCAACAGAGATCAATTTTTGTACTGTAGATAGCTTTATATAAGCTCTTAAGACCCCAGCCACTAGATCAGAAAAAGCACTAAACACGGTAGTTGCCCAATTCACTAACTGGAAATTCTCAGGAAACAACAATTAAAAAGTTAAAAAACAAAAAAAACTACCAAACTCATTGCCATTGAGTTGCTTCCAACTCACAGTCAGCCCACAGGACAGGGTAGAACCACCTCTGTGGATTTCCAAGACTGGAACTCTTTGTTGCTCTTGCTGTTGTTGGTGGGTGTCAAGTTGCTCCTGACCTACAGTGACACAACAACACATTGCCTGGGACTGCGCCATCCTCACAATTGTTCCTGTTCGTGAGCCCATTGTTACAGCCACCATGTGAATCCATCTTGAGGACCTTCCTCTTTTTCACTGCCCCTCCACTTTACCAAACATGATGGCCTCCTCCAGGGACTGGTCTCTCCTGACAACATGCCCAAAGTATGTAAGACTAAGTCTTAGCATCCTTGCCTCCAAGGAGCACTCAGGTTGTACTTCTTCCAAACAGATTTGTTTGTCCTTTTAACAGTCCATGGTACTTTCAATGTTCTACTACAACTCAATGCATTGATTCTTCTTCGGTCTTCTTTATCTAATCTCCAGCGTTTGCGTACATGTGATGCAAATGAAAGTACTACGGCTTAGGTCAGGTGCACCCTTGCTTTTAAATACTCTAACGAGGCCTGTGTGGCAGATTTACCTAATTAAGCATGCCTGTGAGTTTCTTGACTGCTGTTTCCATGAGCATTGATTGTGGATCTAAGCAGGACAAAATTCTCAACAATTTCAACCTTTTCTCCCTTTATGATGACATTACCTATTGGCCCAATTGTGAGGATTTTCATCTTCTTTACATTGAGTGGCAATCCATACTGAAGACTGCAATCCTTGTTTTCATGAGTAAGTATTTTAAGTCCTCTTTAATTGCAGCTAGCAAGGTTGAGGTCAGCAAGTCTTCCTCCAATCCTGATGTCACATTCTTCTTCAGATGAGCCAAGTTGTCTGAGTATTTGCCCAGCATACAGACTTAATAAGTTTGATAAACCCTCTCGCATACCTTTCCTGATTTTATACCATGCAGTATTCCCTTGTTCTGTTCACACAACTGCCTCTTGATCCATGTATAAGTTCTCTATGAGCACAATGACGTGTTCTGAAATTCCCATTCTTCTCAAGGTGATCCATAATTTGTTACGATCCACACCATCACCTGTCTTGGCATAGTCAATAAAAAACAAGTAAACATCTTTCTGGTTTTCTCTGCTTTCAGACACGATACATCAACATCAGCCATGGTACTCCTTGTTCCACATCTTCTGCATCCAGCCTGCACTTCTCATAGCTTCCTCTCAATGTACTGCAACAAAAATTTTGCTTTCTCTTTATGGGAGTAGAAAACGTCATCTTTTTTCTGCACACTGGTTGGTGGTTTTGAACTGCTGATGTTATGGAGAGCAGCCCCATGTGTAACCACTATGCCACCAGAGCTCTGTCTCATGAAAACATGACTGGGAATCTCCAAACCAAAACCCATAAGGTGTCTGGTTGTACATCAGCAGCCTCGGCAGCGACTCCTTTCTGTTGTTATTATTGTAAGCGTGTCATCTATCACACTTTGTTCAATTCAACACTGTTTTGCACTTATTTAACTCACTGTAGCACTTAAAATAATTGGCTGTGTATCTCTACCTTTTGGGATGACTTACTGCACTCAGCACAATGTCCTCAAGCTCCGTCCACATGCTATATTCATAGTGCAGCACGTAAGAAGACTCCCTTTCTCTTACTGGCTGACCAGTACTCCCTTATGCCTGTATCCCCTTTTGTTCATCCATTCACTTGAGTATTATGGTCTTAACTTCTATTTCCCTAATCACTGAAAAGTTATCCATCTCCCCTTGTTTCATTCTCTGTTCTTCAGATGTTTGTCCCTGTCTTTTTTATTTTATTATGCTATAGGTCAAAGTTCATAGAGCACGTTAGTTTGGCAATCAACCATTCATACACAGCTTGTTTCATGACCTTGTTGTCGTCGTCTCAAATTGTCCCCACTTTCTCCACTTCCTCGTTAGGCCCTCTATTTGCAGTCACCTAGTTTATTTGTCCCTCCTGCTTTTGAGCCAACGCTGCCCTTTTGGTTTATCCTTGACTTCTGTTCATTTTGTTGTTGGTTGTTCGATTGTATCTTGCTTCCATCACCAACTTAAAATGTTCCATATATTAAACCTTAGCCAGGGATTGGTGCACATACTTCCTCTCATTTGGGGGATTATTGTTTTACTTTCCTTGTAGTGTCTTTGTGTATGTGTGATGTTTTCTTCTATTTTTTAAAAAACATTCTATTGAATATAATCTACATCATACAATTCAATGGCTTAAACATATTTAAAAGAGTTGTATAATCATCACCACAATCAATGTTAGAATATTTTCTTCATTCTTGTACTTATGATTACTAGCTGCCAATTTTCTGATAACCTCACTTGCCATAACCCTGGGAAACTATTGATCCAATTACTGTATAGATTTACATATCCTATATTTCATATAAATAAAACATTTTTTTACAAACCAATAACAATAAAATAAAACAGAGAAAAAGCTCAATCAAAATGAAGGCAGAAAATAATAAAGACTAAAACAAACTTAAAGTGGGTCAAAAGTAAGAACAAATGATAAGGTGTTAAATTTAACCTAGCTACGTCTGTATTAATCTACTTTCAAATGTCTGATAGCAAAGCTATTCACATCACTAGCCAATGGTCAGAGAGGATTCTGTGGAGGCTTAATACACACGAGGAAGCTGCAAATGGACTTTGGGCCTCCACAGTCATCCATAGCCTTCTGAAAACCCGGTGCCCAGAATTTAAGTTCTGATGCAGCTCCCCACTCTGGTCTTGGATTTTAGTATTTACAATCCATGGATCAAATAGGCTGGTGCGCTCCTTCTGGGTGGGCTTAGCTGACACCTGCCTTGGAAGTCTACTTGATTTAAGATGAGCCTTTAAGACCCCAGATGCTATTTTGCTGATAGTCAGGTGCCATTTGATTTCTTCACCACATTTTGATACAGCATCCATATCTTCAGCACTCTTTTCAAAGAGGTAAGTATAAGTAGGGGGACATCATAAGAACTAATTTATATTAGATTAGGGCTATGATGAAGTGCAAGCTAAAACTCCCTTATGGTGGTAGGTTTTGCTAGTTTTCTAATTATGAAAATTCTTAATAGAGCTAATTTCATACATATTATTTAATGGTTTGTGCACTATGTCTTATTTCATATAAGTAAAACACAAAACCTTTCCCTACTCTGAGGATGCCAAGTGGCCATATATCAGATATCCCCAGTTCTGACTGTGATTTACCTCATGGGCACCTTCTTCAGACATAGCTTCTAGGCCTGCTGTTATTCCTGCAGTTCTAACTTGTGTCTCCATCTATTTATTGAAATTGCTGTCTTTCTCATTTTCCAGGTATTTTATTTTATTCTTTAAAACCTATCTAGTCCTTGTTTATTACTTATTTCTTCTTACTTTGGGCTTCTTTGAACATTAGAAAATATGATATATATATATATATATGATTGCTTTGTATTCTGTGTCTGATCTTTACAAGTCTGGTTTAATTTATGTTTACTCTTACATATGGTGTCACAAGTCCTTAAAGTTGTGGTTTGGCATCTCATGTTTGTGTGAACTTGTATAGAAATCCTTTGAGGCCTGGTCGATGTTCATCCAGAGCCCATGGGTGCTTGCTCTTCTTGGTTATCTGGGACATTATCAATTCTGGATCCTGAGGACTCCGGGGAGAGACTAGTTGCATAATAAGATTTCAATGAGTAAAATAGTTCAGGTGACACCCTTCCCCGGATCTCTTTAAATGACTAAAGCCTGAGCTTGTAGCCACACAGTCTCAGGGGAGACCTTGATGGGTCCTTGCTTTATGTGAGCATCTCTAATCTGATCCCCATTGTGTTTCAGCCCCGGGTTGTGTCTCCTAGGCCCAAGCTGAAAGTAACATCGTAAGACTACAGTCACTGTTGGTCAAGGCTCAGTGGGTGCTCAAAGTTGAACTGCAACATCAGTGCTGTGGACTGTCTCCAAGGACAACATCAGCCTCTGAGAATTTCCCTTTCTTGAAGGCTCAGCTAGACAGGTAAAAACTGTTTCAGTATTTTGTTTTATACTTTTTGGTATTTTTTAGTGAGTAAGTTTTTTCAAGGTATAGAATCTATAGTTTTCCCCTAACATAGAAGACTTTCTTCTATGTATTTACTTTTTGAAATCGCTGTATTCACACACACACACACACACACACACACACACACACACACACTCCCTAACTTCTTTGCTTATATTAGCTTCTCTGGTTTCCTAAGGCAAATTAGTGTCACCAGGCCATATCTTAACATTTTAAAAGGATCTGTAGTTACTCACCAGCCAAAGCTTTCCCCACAAAATTATTTGCTTGACATGATAGAGCCCAAGTTTACAGAGATGCTGTTTCCTAGAAATACTTACAAGAATGACTTAAAGAGTAATGGGTACAGTTATTAGATTAATGCCAAGGCACATGTATTTAGAGTTGGCAAATCAGCACCATCGTAGAGAATGCGCTTTTACAGGGTCAATGTAGCTCGTTTGGATAACTGTGTGTTTGCTTACCAGGGTCCACTTCTGTCCTTTTTCCAAAATCATGAAATGTGTGTTGTCTCCTAAAGTCTGGAAGAACTCTTCCGTATCCACCACAGTGCCATCTTCCTCCAGCACCAACGTGACTAGCCCAGCGGTTATAACTAGGGCATCCAGGGTCTAGATTTGCATCAGAGAAACAGAATGAGGCAAAATACTTCTATTTGACCACTTCTATTTGACACCATTAGGCTAGAGATTTCTAAAGCGTTGGCTGATTTTGATCAAACGTGAAGGTAAAGATATGCTTTAGTTTGTCTCTACGGCTCAGAAAAAGGAAAAGTTTTTAATGACCTAGGTGATTAAACAGAATAACCAATAATTTTTTAAATTGCTAACTTCACAGATGCAAAGAATCATTCTGTGTGCATGATTCTTGAAGAGCCTGTTTCTTCTGACCGTATCTGAATGCTTCCTTAATGGGAGAGACGGTACCTGTATGTTTCTTTCTTTTTCCTTCGTGAATTTTTTATTGTGAATTAGATCAGGGGAGGAAAGAGTACATTTCTGACCATTAACTCTGCATTCAATAATAAAAACGACCCACAAATTCCCCACACCCCCATAGGTCTTATTTCTCACCCCCCTCTTCTCCCTCCCTTTCACTCAAGTTCGGACATGTTGTGGTGATTAGATTTCATGTCGATTGGTTGCACCTGTGGAAAGGGAGGAGCAGAGTCCACCCTATCACTCAGGTCACGGCTTGATGACATCTCCTGGGGCAGGGGTGCGGGTGGGGGTTAAAAAAGGTGCTCTCTTGCCCCTTGTCTTCTTGCTGGCCTGAATTCTGCATCTGGCTCTGGCTCTGTGGGCCCAGATGGACCACCGACCCTGTGAACGGTCACTGCCCTGCCACATTGCTACTGACCTTGGATCCATGTGATTCTGCGTCCACTGGTCTGTGATATCTCCACTTCCCACTTATCTCCCTGCATGGTCAGCTGGCAGCTGCATGAAGGGGACTCCGACCAGCATAGAACCCATGGACTTGTGTTGGACTGGGCAGCCTCCTTGATACAAATTTTTTTCTTCATGTAATGTTCATTCATATGTATGAACATGCATAGAAGTATGCATATGTATACATATAACTGTCCTGGTTTTTGTTTTTGTGTTTTGTCCTGGTTGTTTTTCTAGAAAACTCAACCAAGCACAATTTGGTACTGAGAAAGTGGGATTTTAGAGGAACAAACCATCAGAATGGAGGTGGGCGTGTCTGATATCTGCCTAATGACAATCGGCTGGGTGGTTGTACAGCTGGATGCCCCTCTGGGTGAAGCCAGAGGAATTCACAGATAGCCTTCGGGTGGGTGACTCAATCATTGTATGGAGTGGGATGGGAGCCCAAAGCTTTGTGAGAGAAAGAGCGGGCAGGGGGAATGAAGCTTTGATTCACTCATGGTTCAAACAACAGCTGCTGTTGGAGGGCCCCGGGGCCAAAGTTGAACTATTTAACCAAAATGACTGATAGAAAGCCAGCCCCATTGGATTCCCCCTGCCTGCAGTCCAGGGTCATATGCATATAAATAGGATAATCTAAGAGAATTTTGAACTTGAGTGTTTTTTTGTGTGTGTGTTTAGGATCTGGCCTTTACTAGGATTATATTAATTTTTTTCCTACCTACTGTTCCAGACATAATGTGTGAGAAAGAAATGAATACTGGAAATTATGATTACAGAAAGCTTATAAACCAATAGGCCTTCAGCCTTTGCAATCAGAATTGCTAAAGGGGAGTTAGAAATTGCCCAGTGCCTTCCTTGCTAGGTTTTAAGGGTGCCCAAGGCTTTCTTTGTAGGCCATGGGGATTCCTGGGACCTCCCTTGCTGGGCTTCAGGAAACTGAATGCTTACTTCTTATTTTCATAGGTAACTTTACTCCCCCTCCCCCCCCAAATTTTTTTTTTCTGTCAGGATGTAACCCTTCTTTATTTGGTGCCCTGGGGCACAGTTTTGAATTAAGGGTTCTGTGCTTCCTGACCAAAATACAGATTCCCATATTGTGTGCTGCTTTCCTACAGTCTCGATGGAGACAAAGCAACATGACCAAAGTGATGGCTCCTTTGAAGGAACTCGGATCTGCAGCTGCCTTTAAAGGTGTAGAAAGGTAATAATGTTGCTTCTAACTATTCATAGACGGCTCCCCCTCCGACTCTCAGAGAGACAGATAGGGTCTACCAAGTTAGACATCCTATGTGTGGCAAACATTTCTGTGTTTGCATTAACTTAGTCCTCTGGGCCCTCTGAGTTCAGGGGCCTTTGGTTGCAGCACATACCTTGCTGATGAGCTCCCTCAGGCTGCTTGCCATCACGCCCCTCCTGCTGCTCCTGTCGTGATTGGAGACCCGGAATGGGCGAGCTGAAGGCCCGAGGGAAGTAAACAGGACTCTTTTTGTCTGTGATCCCATAAATGTCAAGGGCCTGAAATGGAGGAAAACAGTAAAAATCATCTTAGCTGGTGCTTCTAGAAAAGGCTAGAAAGAGAGATTTGAAGTATGTACGAGTAATACAATTTTTAATATTAGTATGGTAAGGAACGGGATATAATTGGGAGAGTCTATTGGACATGTATTATACATGCCCCTGTGTTTAAAGAACCCTGGTGGGGCTAACTGGTCAGTGTTGGGCTGTGAACAGCAAGGTCAGTAGCCCAATCGCGATGGGGGAGAAAGTTGAGGCTGTGTGTTCCCGTAACGATTTCAAGCCTGAGAAACCCTATGTAGGGTCACGCTGCGTTAGACTGACTTAGTGATCAGGATTTAGTTTGGGCTTGGGCATAGCCAGGGAACAAGTAAGTTGATCCATCAAGTTAAAAACCATAGCCACTGCCATTTCTATTTTACCCCAGAATTCAAATTCCTCACAACTACTAAAGAATGGGTGGTAGAAGCAGAAAACTCACAGAAGAATCATTTCCTGAAAACATCCATTTTATAACTAATGAAATCCAAGAAAATTATTTCTCAAGGCAACAAAATAGGTAAACAGAGAAAGAAAAGTAGATAACCACTGGCACACACATACCATACAAGGATGTATGTAGTTGTGCACTAAGTCTAAGACCGTAATTAATTCCAGTGCTAGATCTTGGTTATCATAGCAATAAACAAATTCTTGGAAATAAACTGAGGACCAATAGGGAACAACAACTACAAGAACCATTGTTACCATGAGGAAATGGAAAAGACATTCAGGCCATGTATTACTGTATGACATTTTGGAATAAATTGTACATTTATCAAAAAATTTAATTTCACATTTTATTATAGAAAAGTACTAACAGCATAAACAATTGCAGTCTCAGAAACTCACTGAGTCAGCATCAACTTGTGGCAGGGACTTTGGTTTGAGGTTTTGGTATTCCCAACACCCAAGGCAGTGTCCACCAATTTAGGTGCTCAGATAATTTTAGGTATTTGGGTCCATATTTGTGTAGTAACATGCAGGAGAATGAAACCAAGGCTTTAATTTTAGAATGAGGCATACAACCTAGATACTATGTGACTAGATGCCATATGATAAGGAAGTAAATAAACAGAAAAAAACTGGATATTAGTAAATAAGTCATACAACAAAAAGAATACAGCCTTATCTGTTCCATTCTCTTATGTAGTGGTTGTGTGTTGGGCTGCTAACTTGCAAGGTCAGCAGTTCAAACCCACCAGCTGCTCCCAGGAGAAAGACAGGGCTTTCAATTAAGCAAAGATTCTCTGAAAGTCGCAGGGGCAGTTCAATGCTGTCCGACAGCATCTGTATGAGCTATGGCAGTGAGCTTTTAGATCCACAAGGTTGTTTAAAAATACAAAATGAAGGGATCATTATCTTATGGCACTTTGAGCATTTGATCCAGATCAACTATGAAAACTAACTGTACTGATTTCTAAGGCTAACTACCCACCTGTGTTTAGCACTTTAATTCAAATGCAAATCAATTGCTGCAGACTTAACTCCAAATAATAGCAACCTCCTGTGTGTCAGCCTTTGCTCCATAGGGGTTTTGATGGGTGATTCTGGGGGAGTACATCACAGACCTTTCTTTTGAGGTGCCTCTAAGGATTCTATGTTTTCAGTTAGCAACAGAGTAAGTTAACTATATGCACCATCACAAGACTCTGACAAATATAAACACACACATATACACAAAAATGCTTTATTTACATATATGTACATAGGAGGGAGTACCAAAAAAAAACCAGAATTTTTTTTCAAAGCTATGTATTTAAATTGTTTTTACAAAACAATCTTATCACCTTCAAAATACTCTCCATGACACTTAATACATTTATCGAATCTGCAATTCCATTTCTCAAACTCATCTGTTTGGATGGCTGACAGAACCTCCCTTGTTTTTTTCTTCAACTCTTCTACCTCCTCCAATCACTGTCCTTTCATGTCCATCTTCATTTGTGGAAACAAAAAGAAGTCACACAGAGCGAGGTCAGGTGAGTAAGGTGTGTGGAGCAAGAATGGCATGTTGGTTTTTTTGCCCAAAACTGGCACACATAGAAGGCTGCTCAGGTGCATTTTCATGCTGATATAACCAATCCCCAGTCTGCCACAAATCAGGCCTTTTTTGTTGCACACAGTTATGCTACCTTTTCAGAATCTCTAAATAGAAAGGTTGATTAATAGTCTCACCTGGTGGAACGAACTCCAAATACACAAGTTGACATTTTTGTCCATTCGGGAAGTTGTCAGATGGATAGAACAAGGTTTGTCATCAATCAACATTTTGCCTTTTTTTGAAACCACTCGTACACTTGAGTTTTTCCCACAGTGCTGTCCTTGTAAACCTGTGGGTCATGACCTCTTTGGGGGTTGATCGGCCCTTTCACAGGGGTCGCCTAAGACCATATTTCCGATTGTTTTAGGAACCAAGACACTGCTCCTCTACCTGTCCCCAGGCGGGTCTGCCCACATGCAGATATGCCCACATATGTGGTCACCACAACATGAGGAACTGTATTAAAAGGTCGCAGCATTAGGAAGGTTGAAAAACACTGTACATTACAATGAAAGCTATGCTCAACATCACAACAGTTTCTGTGGCATTTTTCCTAAGCAGGAAGCAATATTCCACAGTCACCATTCTCTTAAATAAACCATCACGAAAACGAGGTTCAAGCAAAACTCCTTTTATGAAAAAATGCACTGTGACCAGCGAGAACCTTCCCAGGCAATGCCACTGGGTGCACTAATGCAGAGCGTGTTGCTTGATGCTCATCTAGCAGGAAAAATGCACACTACAAAAGCTCTGCTCCGCCGAGCACAATTCTGGTTTTTAGGGGTTCCCATATCTATATGCTTTATTTATCAACTGGATGGAAATGTCTTTATGGACAAAGACTTTTTTTTTCCTCTTAATACCCTTCTCAAGGCCAGGCATGTATGTTTCAAATAGTCTCTTCTTTAACTAGAAGCTCTTCCAATGGACACAATTGAAAATCCAATGACTTGCCAAGTAATTTGCTGAAATAGAAATCTATGTGGGAGAGAAAACCATCAGCTCTCAAATTTGGTCAGTGAGTGCACCCAGACTGACAAACCCATTTTTGGAAGAGTCCTCACAGAAGTGAAAGTGTTTCCTTCTCCCTATGGCGAACTAACACATACATTGTGAGCAGGAATTTTTTTAAAGGTTTCAGTAGTTATAAAATATGCTTTCTTTGTATAATTCCACCTTTAGAGATGAGCATGTTTTTACAAGTAGATCTCAAAAATCAGTGGAAACTTATTTTCACCTGAGTACAAGAATTTTAAAAAGAAGAGGCAGATGGATACAGTCTTCAATTTGATAGTGGTGTATGACCTAGATACAAGGAAGTTGCTAGAATATTTTGGAAACGGGACTACTCGAATATTCAGACCAGGGTTCTCCAGGGGACAGAATTTCAGTGAGGTGGTTGAGTAGCATGACAAAAGCTTACAAAATGGAAGACTGGAACCTCAGCAAATCTTGATGTCCAAATATCAGAAATATTGGTAGATGAAACCAGTTTGGGAGGAGTCACAGCTAAATTAGATGAAGAATCAATAATTGGTACATTAACAGCTCCATACTTTAAAATGAAGAAAAAATCATGGTATAAAGTTTTAAGAACTAAGCTTTTCTCTAATATCAGGTTATGACCACGCTAGTTGAAATTTTCCAAATGAAATTAGCTTTCCTGAAGATTCTAGCTTAATATACTCGAGTAAAAAATCAGTCTCTTCAGACTATAAATTGAATCCATGTAAAATAAGCTTCAACTTCAAGTGTTTTTCTGAGCCAGAGATGATAACAGTAAGAAACCCAGATATGAGTGAGTACTCTCTACATGTTGTTATAGTTGTTGTTCAGTTCTGACTCAGCCATCCTATGTACAATAGAACGAAACATTATTCTTCATGTTTTAGCCCATTGATACAGCTTCTAAAGGTCTTCTTCTTTTTTATTCCCCAGCTACTTTACCAAGCATGATATCCTTCTCTGGGGGCTGGTATCTCTTGACAACATACCCAAAGTATGTGAGACAAAGTCTCCCCATCCTTGCCTCTAGGAGCATTCTGTCTAGACTTCTTCTAACACAGATTTGTTTGTTCTTTTGACAGCATGGTACTTTCAATATTCTTTGCCAACACTATAATTCAAATGCATCTGAATCTTCTTTGGTCCTCCTTATTCATTGTGCTCATGTGCAGCTGGACATGGATCAACAGACAGTTGTGTGACCAGAACGAGGGAACACTGCATGGTTTAAAATCAGGAAAGGTGTATGTCAGGGTTGTATCCTTTCATCATACTTATTCAATCTGTATGCTGAGCAAATAATCAGAAAAGCTTGATAATAAGGCTGCATCAGGGTTGAAGAAAGGCTTATGAACAAGCTGTGATACACAGGTGATACAACCTTGCTTGCTGAGAATGAGAAGGACTTGGATCCCTTGCTGATGAAAATCAAGGACTGTAGCCGTCAGTGCGGATTATTGAAGCCGAGATAGCCACCCCTTGCATCCAAACCCTGAGTAAGTGATCTTGCATCTGCCAAGAGTAATACCTTCTTATTTCTACAAGTTTAGAAATTAGACTTTTTAGAAAGTAGCATTGTCTTGTGTCATGGATTGAATTGTGTCCCTCTAAATATAACAATTATATCAATTTGGCTGGGTCATGATTCCCAGTTGTTTGGCAGTTGTGTCATCATGTAACTTGGAGGCTACGTCAGGGTTTGATAATTTCCGTGGTGTGATCTGATGTGATATGCTAATCAGTTGTAAGGGACGCAGTGGGAAGCAGCACCTTTACTCAGGTCACAGCTTCAATGGATGTCATAAGAGTTCCCCTGACACATGGCTTGCATCACTTTTTATCTTATATAAAAAAGAGAGAGTGAGCAGAGAGGGGAGGACTAATTACTACCAAGAAAGAAGATTTGGAGTGGACCATGAGCTTTGGACCCAGGATTGCTGC